CTACCTCTGAGTCTTCATCAGCCAACAGTCCTCCCCTCTCACTCATCACCATGTAATGTTCATCAGTCTGAGGCGCAGTGTTCACAGTGACCTTGTCAAAGTGTGTCTGTGTGTGTGTGTGTTGGGGGGGGGGGGCTGTCCTCACTCTAACATCAGCCTCAGGACAGATGTTTACAGATGTTTCTTATCTTTTTCTCCCCATCAAGCATCACAAGGATGGAAACGAGCTGCATCCATAACAAACTGCTCCAGATGAGATCTGCTGGTGATCAACTGCTGGCCCGCAGGCCTGAAACCGGACAGACGGGACAGGTCAGTTCACAAAGCTGCAGCTGAGACCCTTGGGTCACAACACCAAGCTGGGGGTCATGAAATGGTTAATTCAAACAAAAATCTAAAATTAGTTTCTATATTTTACTTGCTTTATAACATAATAAACCAGGACTGTTCAACTAAATCACTCCGGGGGGTGGGGGGTGGGGGGGGGGGCACAGATACTGCAGGTCAACAGCTGAGGGTCCGAACATCCAGCAATTAGTTATTATGTAAATAAACCAAGTTTTACAAACATCTGTTACCTTTAAAATTAGTTTATTTTACTGTATTTAATCATGAAAACAACATACAGAACCCTATAAAAGTAGTGATAATTAAACAATATCAAAAACAAAAAGAACACATTCTGCCTCTTATTTAAACACAAATAATATTTTAACATCTCTGACTTGACAAATATTTAAACCAATTTTATTTTCACTTTCATAGTTTTATCTTCACCTGCTTAACTGTCTCAGATATTCATTCATTGTACCCAGACTCTGATGTTTCTGTAGAAACAAACATGTCTGTGTTTTACTAAAATAACAGAGTGATTAAAGTAGAAAAGCAGGAGTTTGGCTTTAAGAGATGAATGAACCAAATTGGCGGGCCGAACTTTGGTCACTCGGAGGCCGGATGTGGCCCGCGGGCCACCAGTTGACTAGCCCTGCAATAAATACATATATGTTACTTATAATGTGATTTATGAATGTTAATGTCAACTCTTTTAAAAACTAGTTCTTATGTTCTGCTAAAAGTGAAACTAGCTTCATATTTAACAAATTAGCTTTTTGCTAACTTTGAATTTGCAGACTGATTAGCTTCTGCTAAATTAGATTCCAATAATTTTAAGTCAACTAAAAAATTCACATGTTAAACTTCTATTTTTATGCCATCTATCCCAAATTAATTAAAAACGATCCCATCTTACGAGCAGTGCTGGATGTGTGTGTAGCATGTAGCATCTTTAGCTACTAAACTAACAAATAATAGAAAAAACAATTAATAATTTTTAAATAAGGAACACTGTCAGGTTTGGTGTAGTAAAAATCCAGAGCGCAGGCAAGTTTAAAAATCAAAATCACAAGGTCTTTAATATAACTTAAGGAGGGCTGATAATACAGCAAAAACTTACTTAAATGATGAGGGTACAAGGAACATGAGCACTGGAGACATGATAAAACAATGATCCCACACTGACACAGAGACAAGACAGAGCTTAAATACACAGGAAAACTAATGAGGGAACAGAAAACACCTGAGGAAACAAAGCAACACTAATCACAGAAACTGAACTCACCTGAGACAAAAAGGAACTCAAACAGAAAACCCAAACATGAACAAAAACCAAAACAGGACCTGAAAAACTAATCATAATACAAAAAACAGGAACCAAAAAACCAAACTATGACAAATACAAAATCAGTAGAAACTGAGAAAATATATAAAGTATTTGTTGTTTGATTTACTTCAATTGGTATTTATAAAACACAAACTCAATCAAACAAATGCTTTTATTATGAAAGGGTTAAACTGGAAGTATCACACGTTAGACAGAGCACCCTTTAGATTGACATGTTTGCTGCAGAAGATCCCACCTCCTCTAAATGAGACAATGAGTCTCAAGAGATTTTCCTGTATATATAAAGGATAAAAAATAAACTGATGCAAATCTGTTATTAGTTGTTTATTGGTCCAACTCTGGGGCAGTTGTAGGGGCAGGGCCACAGGGGCATTGGCCCCCTGAAGTGCCCCTGTCCTGTCATTCATCTGTCCTTTGAGAATGATGATGGTGGGTGCAGTTCCATGTTCAAACACTAGAGGCACTGATGAGTCAAATATGAAAGTTCAGCTTGAATCAATCTTACAGATTTCTTCTCTTCTTCAGAAAACCTGAACAATCCTGCA